ACACACACACACACACACACACACACACACACACACACACACACACAAAATAAGATTTTAAAAAAAGATTTATTTCTAAGTATCTTTGAAAAATATCTTAATAAGAGTATTAATATGAAAATCTTCAAATATATAAAAATAAAAGTAAAATCAGCTCTCATATATTCTCTCATATTAGAAGTTCATCTTGTTCCATTTGCATCATCCTCCTGCGCACCCAGAAACCCCCAGTTCTCAAATTGGATTGTTTAAACAAATGACAGTCATCAAATTATTTCAGTTTCACAGATAGAAAATTACATTATGTAGACATAAGATATTTTCTCTAAAGGATAGAACTGTATATTAAAAAAGTATCATTTTCAGACCTAAGCTTTTGAAAGAGTAATTTCTTACTGTCATAAGGGATCCATGAGGAGAGTAAGGATCTCACTTGTTGCAGTTGGTTGGTTGTATATTAGATTTCTTTTAATCTTATGTGTGTTTCAAGAAGTGAATATTTATTTATTTATCTATTTATTTATTTATTTATTTTTGAATTTTATTTTTTTATCAGTTACATTTTGTTAACTCTGTATCCCAGTCTTGTCCCGATCTCTCATTCCCTCCCAGTCCCTCCCTCCCTCCCTCCCTCATCTCCACCCTGCCCCTTTCCAAGTCCACTGATAGGGGGGACCTCCTCCCCATTCATCTGATCCTGTTTTATCAGGTATCTTCAGGACTGGCTGCAAAGCTCTCCTCTGTGGCCTAACAGGACTGCTCCTCCCTTGGGGGGTGGGGAGGCCAAAGAGCCAGTCATTGAGTTCCTGTTAGAAATAGTCCTTGTTCCCCTCACTATGGGAAACCAATTCGTTACTGAGCTACCACAGGCTACATCTGAGCAGGGGTTCTAGGTTACATTCATACATGGTCCTTGGTTGCACGTCAGTCTCAGAAAAGACCCTGTGCCCAGATATATTTGGTCCTTGTGGAGCTCCTATCCTTTCCTCATCAGACTAACAAGAAGTGAATATTTAATTCTAAGGAATTTTCTACATTCTAGATTTGGCTGATGGCTGTGGGAAGAACCAGTAAGGGGAAGGAGGAATTAATTAATTAATTCCATACTGGTTAATTAATTAATTACAGTGATGGCTGATGTGGTTATAAAGGCACTGAAGTTCTGTGATATGCTGTGTGAGAGAGACTAGATAGACGCTCTTGACCATTTTGTGTTTTCTGGCTACTTGATGGGTGACAGTGCTGTGTGCTGTCAGGGAGACCGTGTCTGCCTTCTGTGCTGTGGGGCCTGCTCACTGGCTTCAGGCGCTGCAGTGCCAGTTCATCTGTTTTAAAATTGACCAGCTTTTCTCTTAATGGCTTTCTTAGTAGTTGATGAGAATCATTTCCATTTTCATTATTTCTTTATGGTGTGGAAAGTCAATGTTATCTAATATTTTCATTCTAACACATTCATTATGTGGAATTTCAAAAATAGCACATTTTATCATTATCTGTATTGAGACATAATTTTTGTGTAAAAGGCAAGAAAAAAAAATACTAGCAAAACTGATTAAAAAAAAAAAAAAAAAAAAGGTAGATTCTCACTATGTAGTCCTGGCTGGCCCGGAACTCAAAGAGCTCCGTCCACCGCCTCTTCTCTTCAGTACTAGGTTTAAACATGTATGCCAACACGCGTGGCCTCTGAAATGCTTTGTTTTAAAGAGTTGCAGAAGAATAATTTAGTTCTCCAATTTTCTGCAGAGACAGTGAAATATGTTAGTGTCTTTCTAAAATTGACAATAAACAGGAATTTTAACATTTTACTTAAATTTCACAATGGCATCTCTCTTTTTCTTAACAAATGAGTAATCAAAGTAGTGACTGGTAGCTTTGGCTGAGATTGCATTTAAATCTGTAGGATAATTTGTTGAGAACTAACTTGTAAATAACTTCAGTCATCTGACCTTTGACTGTGGTATGTGTCTCCTGTTGAGAGACTGAATCATTTCTCTTGGGAATATTTTAAATACAGTTGCTCTGTTTTATCTGTTTATCTTGCAAGCTAGTGAAATTCACATCTTCATAATGCAGTTTCTTGTAGAGTCCCTATGACCTTCTTTGTTGATGATGTGTTCTCCTCAAGTAAAGACAGCTTTATGGCTTCCTTCCCATTATTGATATCCCTCCCATTGCCCCATTGAACTGTCTGTCACCTCTGCCTCTGAGTTGAATAGGAATATGAAGATGGGCATTTCTTCCTTGTCCAAAGTTTCGTAAAGGAAAGCTTTCTGTTTCCTGCCCCTTCCGTATGGGCTAGGCCCCTTCTGTCTAGCTGTGCAGTGATCCTTGGCCTTAGCAGGTTTCCTGCTCCTGCCCCAAGGAAGCTAGATTTGGAATCCACCTTATCCCTCTAGGTTTGTACCTTTTCTTGACATTAGTGACCAGAAGATCTCTTGAGCCTCCCCCATTGGCAGCCTGCTGTTCATTGTTTCTAGGTGCAAGGCTTGTAGGTGTCCAGGGCAGACAGCTTTGGTTACTTTTGCCTCTGAGACATGCTAGACAGTAGGCATCCTGACCCTTCCCCAGCTGCTTATAGATTTGCTTCCTATGGGAGAAAATCCAAGAAAGTAGCTAAGAGTTCAGTTGCCTTTGTTCCAACAAAGGTGGCTTCCTCAGGGTTTCTCTTACTCTTTTATGAATAGTCCATGGGGGGAGGAAAACAGAATCTATGAGTGTTGGCTCTCCCTGTGCTAAAGCCTGAAGAATTCTAAACTCCCAAAATAATCCACAGTCAGCCTGAATTTGGGCTGTTTCTTTCATAGTGTTCTGCTCTTGCGTTGCCACTTGTCTGTGCCTTCAGACATAGTGTAGTTTAGTAGTGCTGGAGGAAATACAGATGTGACTTTGTCTATGATTTCTTTCATTGAGTTTGTGTTTTTTAGGTCTTGCCATGATGTTGTATTAGTTTTTGTTCTTTTCATTGGTTGCTAATGTACTAGTATATTTCAGTTTGTTTAAATTTTATGTGTATAGGTTGCCTCATACAGGTAAATACGGATGTCAGTGTCCTCATACAGCTAAATATGGATGTCAGTAGGAAACTGATTCCTCCTACCCCCCTCTCTTTGCTACTTATTTATTTATTTATTTATTTATTTATTTATTTATTTATTTATTTATTTATTTGAGGCACGGTTCCTCTGTGTAGCCTTGGGCACGGTTTCTCTGTGTAGCCTTGGCTGTCCTGGAACTCACTCTAGACCAGGCTGGCCTTGCTTCCTGTGACTTGTTAGAAATGGAGATTACTATGTCTTCCTTTGATATACTGAATGAGAAACTTCACCTTGCCAGTGTGTTATCACAGCTGCCAGAGGTTGAGAGCCACTGCTCTAGAGGACAGCCCAGGAAGAGAATGCTAGGGCAGTTTTCCACGTGGCTCTGGCACTTTATATTATACCAGTAGTACAGGAAAGTTTAGCTAACATCCTGTCTTCAGTGTTCTCAGACTTGGTAAATTAAAATGAGGCCATTCCTTTGCTCTCATTCAGCATTCCCACATAGTGTTTGACATACAGTTATCAAACTTGTGTATATATGTATTAAGTTGAATTTTTACAAAAATGTTTTCAGTTTTAAAATTTGTCCTTTTTTAAACAGAGCCTTCATTGAAACCTAAGCTTAATCATTGTGTATTTTTTCTTCTAGCTCTTATCTCTTCTTTTTGAAGATTTGTTTAAAAAATTTAATTCAGAAATGAAGAAAATTGCAGACCAAGTGATTCCTAAACAAAGAGCAGCCCAGTTTGATGTGGTGAAACACATGCGCCAAGACCAGATCACCAATGGCATGGTGAATGCCATCTCTACCGTGAGTCTCCAGCCTGCTCTGCAGTTTGTGACTTCATTAACTGGACTAGAAATGCAAAGTACTCTGGGAACCCATGAGACAGAAGTGTTCTCAGTAGGCTTTGTTAAGAGAGGCATTCCCTCTCATCTTTCTCATCTTGTTAAGACTATTACCGTCTAAAAACACAAAATGGAAATTTTCAGAAGTAATTAATAAATTTAAATAGCTTCTGTTTTTTTCCTATTTTTCTTTTATTTTTTCCAATTTTACCTATAATTTTCCTGTTTTTATTAGTTTTTAAGTTTCTACTGTGTGTAATTCACAAATTAAAATTTATCATGGGTGTGTGGAAAAAAACAGCATAGGATTATTGGGTTCTGTACATCCCTCATGGACTAAGAAGGATTACCATACAACTTCAGTGCTAAATTATAGTTTCTGCTGCATGGCAATATGAAAAATGCACTTACAGGGAGAGGCTTAACTATTCACAGTCATTCTTCTCATGGGTACTTCCCTCCATTTTTTTTCCTGCAATAAGGTTGATAGATTTCAGGCAGATTTCTTAGTTGGCAGCTTTTGTCCAAAGCCATTCAAAGGCGTCTTATTTCTTTTATATTCTTCAGAGATCCATAAGCTATTCCTTTCTGGGCACTGAACTTGGTCCTCTGCAGCTGCTGTGTATTTAGGGCCCGGATGTTCATGAAGGGTTATCAGATAGGTATCTGCTCCCTTTTTAAAAGCATAGCAACTGTACATCTATCTGATGAGTCTGCCTTGCATTTGATATACCAGACACACAATTTTATGGATGGTATCTTGCCCCAACAAAGAACAGCGTGGCCCAACACTTTGACTCCCATAACCATGAAATAATAAAGAAGACTTGCTTCAGCTCTCAGCTTTAGAAATTTTAGTGGCTCTATGTGGGCAGCTAAAGTATAGATGCAGCCCTACTCTGTGCCTTTGGCACCTTACCCTCCCATGGTCTGGGTTCTCGAGGTTGAAGAGCCTGCCATGCTGAGCATTCTCCTGTCGGGGTTGCTTTCCCTTCTTCCTGGCCACGTTCTCTCAGCAGGACGCTGTTTTATCTTCTTGACCACCTGCTTATTAGAAAGCATTAGGCCTTGTGGCAGCTGTGTCTCCATCTGAGGTCACCCAGAGTGTTCCCCTCGAAAGAAAGCTTTCACCAAGTTAGCCTCACTGTGGAGCAGTTTTACACTGTGGTTTCCTCCTGTTTGTTCTTTTGATTCCTTCTGGTTTGCTCCTGCAGGAGACTAGAACGGATTCTCTCCACTTCCTTCTCCCCTTGCTTCCTGTTTACCAGCAGGCTGCCTCATTTTAGCTCTGTGCTATTTACCTTATTATTCCTACCCACTGGGCATAGGTCTCATCCCAAGGATAAAAGGAAGCCAGCTGAGTGTGTAGCAGTCAGACATTTGCCCACTTGATAGCTTTTTGCTTGCTTTTGGCTTTTGAGGTGTGTAGAGCTTTATGCCTAGAATTTAGCACTTACCCCTCTGTCAAAAAATTAAATGTTCCTAATAAATGGATTTTGAGTTTAGCAAAGTAAAATTTGACTAATGAGGGAGACGCCCTGAAGTCATATTTTAATATAAAATAAATTTTAATATAATTTATTTGATCTCCTAAAATCACACTAATTTTCCTGTTTTGAGGAAAAGCTCTAAAGCTAGGATCCATATAAGTATTCTCCTGAAACTGTTTTCAAAAGTTTGTATTAGTTGTCTTTTGTATGTTTTTCTAAGAAAATAGTCATAATCTTCATCTGGTTCTTCAAGAGGAAACACCCCAGCATAAACAGATTCCTCTGTGAAGTCATAAAGATAATTGGGTCAAATGTTTTTTGAGATGTTTTTTTACTTTCCTTTTGCAATGTATACTATTTTCTGCAGTTATGTTACAGTTTTTGGAGAATATTATATAATGTGTACAACTTATACAGCCAAAAACCTTATAGTTTAATATAATCTAATATGTTCAGTATATAGAAGATGAAATTAACATTTAAGATTTACTTACATAAGTCCATTTTATTTTGTTAATATTTCAGGTTAGCATAGAAAGTAATAGTGTTCATCATTATATCATCTTTACAGTGATGACATAAATCTGTTTTAATGTTGCTATGACCACAGAGGTATTTCTTGATTTAACAACATAGTATTTCTTAATGTTAATAAAATACAGTTTTAGGGCTGAAGATGTAGCTCAGGTAGAAGAACACCTTCTTAGCATTTGCAAGCCCTAGGTTTGCTCCCCAGTACTGAAAACAAACAAATAAACAAACAAACAAACACAAAAAGGCCAAGATAGGTTAAAACATGCAATTCCTATTTCTTAGATCTAGATTAAGAAAGTATAGATGATTATGTCAAAAGTACTATCAGAATCACATTTTTCTGCACTTATCTTTGTCTTAACACTACCTTTGGAAGGCATCTAAATAATAATCCAACATGAGATTTCCCTTTGAGTTTTAGACTTGTTTTTGCCTGAAGAGTGTGTACACCTCACACTCTTCAGCCTCAGGTTGAACTGTTGTGGGAAGTAGAACCTGAGTCCTAAAGAAGGTGACTGTCCTGTGATGAACATTTGAAGCTGGCTGCTTGCCACAGTGTAGCCCTTGCCTAGAAAACCCCAGCAAATCATCAGGCTGCATTTTAACTTTACTTGTATCATTTTGGTTTCTATAGGTACATCATGGCTGTATGTGCATTGTCAGGCAGTTGCTATGACAAACTTCTCATTCTACGGAAAGGTTAGAGTAGCCTCACTCATTTTATTTCTTTCCAGGGAAATTGGTCTCTAAAGAGATTTAAAATGGACCGCCAGGGTGTGACCCAGGTGCTGTCTCGATTGTCATACATATCTGCGCTCGGCATGATGACAAGGATATCTTCCCAGTTTGAAAAAACAAGAAAAGTGAGTGGTCCTCGTTCTCTCCAGCCATCTCAGTGGGGAATGCTCTGTCCCTCCGACACGCCTGAAGGAGAGGTAAAGTACCATGAGAGTCTCTGTGGGGTCAAAGGTCATACCGTTATGGTGAAAGTGTGGGGTTCTGCTTCTAGACCTTAGTCATTTCTTAACTGCTGAGTCATTGATTAACTGCTTATTTGGCAAGAAATGCTGATGCAGTTTGTCAAGACTACAGAGTAGCTCTGAAACCAGAAGCCTTGATTCAGCATCTCATTGGAGAGATTCAGAGTCAACATTTCTCATTCTCATTTTATCCTGAGAACCAAACCGTGCAATGAAGAGGTGATTAGAATGTGGACAACTGAGAGAGCAATCACTTTTGACGCTCAAGAGGAGCTCTGAGTAGCTTTTTATTTTCTTTAGGTGTGCCTTGAGAAAACAGTTTGGAACATATACTCTAAGACCTAAAGTAATTCTGATTTATATAGGAAGCACAAACCATTACCTAAACACCAAATTAATAGAATTGACAAGATTTAATTGCTTAGCCTCGCTGTGTCCTATGTTCCATGGCTCTTTCTTATTCATAGATTTTTTTAAAATGTTTGTATGTGTATGTGTGTAGCTGAGTGTATGTGTATGCATCATTTGCACGCAGGTACCAGTGACACCAGAGGAGGGGACTTTATAGCCCTGGAACTGGAGTTGCAGGCTGTTGTAAGCTACCCCATGTATGTGCTCAGTGTCCTCAGTGTTTCTTCAGTCTCAGCCTTTTCTTTCTCATGATATTGTTGTTAGTGTCACCTGATTCTATAAATGAATAGAGAAAGGTGGGCCACCACTGTCCTCAGGTAGTGGAGAAAGGTGGGCCACCACTGTCCTCAGATAATGGAGAAAGGTGGGCCACCACTGTCCTCAGGTAATGGAGAAAGGTGGACCACCACTGTCCTTAGGTAGCAGAGGAAAGTGAGCCACTTCCATGTCTTCAGGTAATGGAGGAAGGTGGGTTTCCACTATCCTGAGACTCCTGCACTAGAGACCCCATAAATACACGATGTATGAAAAAATTGGTTAATAAAAAGTGAAAGGTGTAGGCTTCAAAGTGTAAGAATATGTTAGGACTCAAAAGAAGTGAAAATTAGAAGTCTAGGTAGACCGTGGTTTTTAGAAAATAATCTAATTTACCTTAAACTGTAAGAAAATTCACATTAAGTTTATTTAGTTTTCAGATGCATCATGAATTTTGAAGCGCTTAAATTTCTCAGGGATTGCTTCAGCCATCATCCACAGCTAAATTAACTTTCTGCTGTTCTTAGTTGGGGTTTCTATCACTGTGAGGGTGTTGAAGCTTCACCAGCAGCCTCTCCTGGGCTCTTTTCAGGCACTCTAACCCTACCACATGGTGCCAAGCCTCACTCCTCTACATGACCCCTTTATTTCTGGGGAGTCTACTTCAGCTGAGTCTCTACACCCACCTATGTCCTTTCCCAGTGCCCAGATGCCTTGATGCTTTCGAAACCAGTACTAACCGGGAAACCTTTACACATCACCAAGTTTGGCTGCCAGCACAGGGTACAGCTTGGCTTCCCCTCAACCACAGCTTCCTACACTGACCCTGAGGGAATACTCCCAGGTTACCATCCTCGGTGATGCTGCTGCTCTCTTCTTCATCACTGTTGATTCTACAGCTCCAGCTGATACTGAAGACCAGTATCAATTTTCTCAACAAAGCAAAGGTTTCACTTTACTGGTTCTTAATTCAAAATATTGAACAGCCTTGATAGACTCTTTAAGGGACTCTCAAACTGCTCTCTGAAACCTCACAAGCCAGGCCTCCATTGTGTCTACTGATCTCAGCACTCTTATCTTCCAAGCCTCCACAGAACAACCCGCTGAGCTCTGCACACTAAGTAGCTTTTCCACAATCATCTAAAAAGCACATAATCGGGTCTGTAATAGCAGTACCTGTTGACCTGGTAACAATTTCTAACTTTGTTAGGGTTTCTGTTGCTGTGTTAAATGCTGTGACTAGAAGCAGCTTGGGGAAGAAAAGGTTTATTTGGCTTATATTACCGGGTCACACTCCATCACCGAGGGCAGTCAGCGTAGGAACTGGAAGTAGGAACTGAAACAGGAGCCATGGAGGGGCACTGCGTACTGGCTTGCTCAGCCTGCTCCTTTACACATCCCAGGACCACCAGCCCATGCGTGGAAAGTGTTACCACAACAGACCCTCCCATATCAGTCACTAATTAAGAAATGGACTGCAGACCTGCCTACAGGCCAATTCTCTGGAGGCTTTTTTTTTTTTTTTTTCTTCAGTTGTGGTACATCTTCTCAGGTAAGTCTAGCCTGTATCAAATTGACAATAAACTAGTGAGGACAATGTCCTCTCTTGTTATCTGGAGATAACTTCCTCAGGTTAAAGGGCATGCACTTTTTAAAGGTGAGGTTGTTTGAAGTAAGGGTGTGTATCTGTGTGTTTGCACGTATGTGTGTGTAGGTGTGTGTGTTTGAATCTCCAAGTGTCTCTTTCAAGGTTGTACTCATTTGTATTACCAACAACAAAGTGGTGAGCATTTTCAGATACAAACTGTACAATTTGACTAATGTTTATTCTTAGAAATGACTGTCAGTTTTTTGTTAGGCCTGTGGTTTGGTGAAAAACTTGGCCCTCATGACACATATTACAACTGACATGGAAGATGGACCCATTATTAAGTTAGCTGGTAACTTGGGAGTAGAAGATGTGAGTTTATTATGTGGAGAAGAACTCTCTTACCCAAATGTGTTTCTCGTCTTCCTGAATGGTAGGTATGCACTAGAGATGGCCATCCTAGGCCAGTGTTTCTCAACCTGGGGTCGCAGCCCCTTGGAGTAGTCGATGACCCTTTCATAGAGGTTGCATATCAGATATTCACATTATGATTTATAACTGTAGCAAGACAGTTATGAAGTAGCAACAAAAATAATTTTGTAATTGTGGTCACTACAACGTAAGGAACTGTATTAAAGGGTTGTAGCATTAGGAAGGCTGAGAGCTACTATCCTAAGCAAACTTTTGGGAATAGAGAGGAAATCCATTATTTTTGTATTTAAAGCATAAGCATACTATAGTTCTGATTCTAGATAGACCTGAATTTATTTTTTGTTTTATTTTTATTGAAAATAAATATTTTCCATCAATATATTCTGATTATGGTTTCCCCTCCCTCATCTCCTCCCTGGTCCTCCCCACCTTTTTGCACTTCCAACTCTACAACTTCTTTTCCTGTCTCTTCAGAAAACAAATAGACACCCCCCAAAAAAAATTAGAATAAAACCAAACCAAACAAAGAACAACAAAAGAAAAAGCAGAAGAAACAGCACACATGGAGATACACAAACAAAACCCATAAAAACACAAGCAAGAGCCAGGCACAGTGGCATACTCTTATAATTCCAGCACTCACAGAAGCAGAAGCCGATAGATGTAAGTTGAGGCAGCCTGGTCTACAAAGCGAGTCCAGGACAGCCAGGGCTACACAGAGAAACTCTGTCTTGAAAAACCAAAACCAAACAAACAAACAAAAGCACAAGCAAAAGACCATTATGATAAAAAATTGCCCAAACAAATATGAGACAAAAAAATTAAAACTGTAAAAATACCACTGAGGATTTTTTTTGTCTCAGCCATCTACTGCTGGGCATGGGGCCTGCCCTTAAAAGTGGTTAGTATACTCAGTGAGACTCCAGTGGAGAAGTTAAGTTTTCTTCGGAAAGGTTGGTTATCAATTGCAGATAGCTTGTACAGATCCAAGCCAGATCCCCCCAGCGCTGAGAGGGGGAAGTGGATGTGATCTCCCACCCCTAACCAAGAAGCTGTCTCCAGTAGGCTTTAAAGGGAGAAAAGTAGTACTAGAAACAGCTGAACTTTTGGGTGTGCTACCCAAGATTCTGAGAACACTGCTGAGGTCCAACTACTGCTTTCCATCTATTTGCAGTTTCTAAAACATCCATGGTAAAATAAGCTTTGTGTACTATCTTGATAGCTACTTGGGTATACACACAGTTCTGCAGAAATGATCAGATCAGCTCACTTCATAGTCCTAAGCCATACAGTACTTAGAGCTCAGCAGCTGTGGGAAAATGATCTTCTTTGGTTCATGTCTGTTTCTTCCTTCTGCATCCTTTAAGCCCCCAGAGGCTGGCAGCAGTGTGCCCACCTTTTCACTCGGTAGCTGTGTCCTGTCTGATGTGCTCATCTCTGGCCATCCTTTCCTCCCATTCAGGGAGTCTCTAGCCCTCTATAATACAGGCTCGTGGGGAAGGGTCAGGTCGTCAGCAGGGCAGTCAGCTTCCTGCCTTGTCAGTGTTTAGCAGGGGTTGGTGGTGAGCCAGCTCTCAGTCTGCATGTCATGCTGTGCCTCTCTGAATCCTAGTGCTAAGCCTGGGAGGTGAAAACTGGCATCTTAGTTTCACAGCAGGTTCTGTAGTGTCCAAGGCAGAGTTCTCAGCAGTCTCCTCCACATGACACCTGTGGAATTAACAGGCCAGGCTTCACTCCTGCCTGTTCTGGTGTGAAGCTCATGCTCTTCTCACCATGCTGACAGCTGAGGACAGTCAAGTAAACTCTTGGGGAATTCCTCCATCATTGTCTCCAAGGCCCTCAGCCCAGCTTTGATCACACTCTTCCTAGATCTGGCCTGTGGATGACTGCTGTCAGTAACTATGTTCCAGTGACTTCTCATTGCTTCTCAGCATTATGATTGGATGGATAATTTTAGTAGGATTATTTGTTCTTTGTTTCTGACTCACCTGTTTCTTCTCTTTGTCTAGGTAACATCCTGGGTGTCATTCGAGACCATAAAAAGCTTGTTAGTACATTTCGGTTGATGCGAAGAGCAGGATATATCAATGAATTTGTTTCTATCTCCACAAATCTTACAGATCGCTGTGTTTATATTTCTTCTGATGGAGGACGATTGTGTAGGTATGTTGCTGTTAAGAACTTAAGTCTCTACGTGAACTTTTGGAAGAAATAGTCTTCTAGTTTTGAAGCTGCTTTAGCCTTTTTGTTGTTGTTGTTGTTGTAAAGATAAATTTGATTCAGTTTTCAAACACCTTAGAGATTAATGGGAGATATGAAAACTAATGGGAGCTATTTTCTGTGCTCAGAGTTCAGTCTGCCAGGAGAGGCAGAAATAATTACTGGTACAACTAGCTCTGCTAGGGAATGGGTGCTAGTTGTTGTCTGTTTTACTGGGTATGCTATTTGTGGAAGGCCATTATTTGAATTATTATCTTCATTTTAATGAGGAACTTCGGGATCTGTGAGGCTGAGCCAAATGCCCAGAGCTAGACTAGAGTAGAATTGTTTTTTTCTTGATAGTCCTTAGAAGTCGCTTGACTCCAACAGTCCTGATTTTCACCTCTGTATTCTACCCAGCCTTAAAGTATTTGTAGTTATGTTACTTGACCAGAAAGTAAAAGGAGAAAGGCTGAGAAAAGCCAAGGAAAATGTTAGGATGCAAAAGGAGGTGGTAACGGTAGGAAAGTGGCCCCTTTCGTGCTTATCGCACACAGGTTGAGTCCTCCAGCTGAGTATGCACAGAAATCCCACTAGTATCTGTCCCAGCCCATCTCAGGGTCATGCAGGGACATGAGCTTAAGATCACCTCCTACTCAGCACTCCCTGGATCCTCTTCACTGGCCCAGCTCCTGATCTTTCTCAGTACTCAGTATTTCTCCTCTTCCCTTGATTCTCATTCCTTCTCTCTCCCTCTCCCTCCCCACCCCTTATTCTTCTTTTATGTATTATATCCCCAAAGCAGTTTCCCCTCTCCCCTAGATCCACTCCTCCTCTGATTATCTTCAGAAAAGTGCAGTCCTCCCATGCATAGCAGTCAGATTTGCCATACCAAGTTGCAGTAAGACTAGGCATCACCCGTTGTGTTAAGGCTGGATGAAGCAAGCCAGCAGAGGGAAAATGGTTTCAAAAGCAGTCAGAAAAGTTAAAGACAGCCACTGTTAGGAGTCCCACAAGACGACCAAGGTCACAACCGTAAACTATGTGCAGAGAGCCAGAGCAGACCCATCCCTGATTGTCGTTTCAATCTCTGTAAGCACCTATGAGCCCAGGTTAATTAGTTTTGTGGGTTTTCTTCAGTGTCCTTGACCCCTCTGGCTCCTACAATTCTCCCCCCCCCTCCCCCCGCCTTCTTCCACAGGATTCCTCTAGCTCTGCCTAATGTTTGGCTGTGGGTCTCTGCATCTGTTTCCACCAGTTGCTGGATGAAGCCTCTGATGACTGGTCCAGCTTGAGACCTGTGACACAAGAGGGATCCCACCCCTGTCACTACCTAGAGGGCCAAAAACCAGAGGCTGAATAATTCAGAGACCCAGGATAGAACCAAACAGGACTGGCAATACAAAAAGAAAAAAAAAAAAGTCAATGAAATGATTCCTAATGATACTCTGCTATACTCATAGACAGGAGCCTAGCATAATCGTCCTCTGGTAAATTCTTAATGCTTCTAGTAAAGTAATTTTTGCTTGACTTGGTCAGACTTGGTTTCTCTTATGATGTTGCTGAAAATAAGATACTCACATTTGAGTCCTAGCTGGCCACTTCGTGACTGTGTGATTCTGAATATTCCTAAGTTTTTGAGGTCTGGTGTCCTTGGCTTGAAATGTGAATGGTAATGCCTACTTAGGACTGTGCTGAGAAATAACAAGTAGGTTGGGGAAGTGCTTACAGAGAGAGTATCGGGTGCTCACATAGAGCTGCTAACCAGTGGCTTAGGCCAGGCGGGGTGGCTGGTGGCCTTAATTCTAGCAGTTAGGCAGAGGCAGGTGGTAGGGCTCTGTAAATTCCAGCCTGATCTCTGAGGTGAGATCCTATCTTAAAAAGAGGAAGGAACTGGAGGATTAGACAATATGACCTAGGAGGCAGGTGAAGCATTGGCATAGTATAAGCACTTCCTGTTCAGAACTTTTTATTTTACTCTAAACATTTAATAAAATATATTCTAAAAGAAAGTTAATTGGTTTTTAGAGGTCATTTCATATTAGCAGATCAGAGATCTGGCTGGAATAGAAGAATTTATTGAGTAAAGTGGCTTCTCCCCTTTCTACTCTGGTTTCTGCTTTCAATTGTGAGCCATAACCTGAGATCCTGGATTGGGGCAGGAGTGGGTCTGTGATTCCTCACCAAAAGCCAGGAGTTGGAGGTACTACTGACTTTTCTTCCCATCTGTGAGCTTTAGCTTCTCTTTTTGCTTGATTCAAAGTGTTCATTAGTCTTCACAGCATTATTTGGGCTTCAGGATAGACATACAAGTGTCTGCTGGCTTCTCGCTCCCCTCAGTAAGAGCTGCTTATCCAAATAGCAACAGCCCTTGATGTTTCCATGCCTCGTGCCATTCTTATTGTGAGTATTTCCTTGTGGTGGTGAAGCCTTCGAGTCAAGTCACCACTGACAGTTACAGGTTAATCTGCCAGACTGCTCTTCCACCTCCCCACCCCCATCAGTCATTATAAGTCACCAGTAAGGAGGCTGTTCTGTTCTCAATAAACATATAGCCAAATGCTCTAAGTCACTTCTCAGTCTTTTTCAGTGATGTTAGTCATGCATCAAACCACCCCAAACACCAGGTCTCCACCGAACTCTCAAGACATATCTGTTACTGTCCTCAGTGACAGGTCTTTGCCTGCCAACTCTTGTGGGTATCACAACAGTTCTTCTGTGTTGGGGCTATATTCCGGGATCCTCAGTGGATATCTAAAACCATCAATAGTACCCAATCTCAAATGGACCATCCTTTTAATCAGATAACTCAGCCTGCTACTAAATTACTAACAGGTAGGCACCCTTTCAGTGCTGTGCAACATGAATGCACTAGAGAAAAAGCTAATCCCCTTCCCAGGTAGAATGGAGCAGGGGCTACAGGATTTTACCACCCTGCCCAGAAGCATACGTGATTGAAAACTTTCTAGACCGGAAATGACTCCAAGGAACTAAAATCACCAAAAGCACAGAAGAGTCACTGAAGCGTGGGCAAAGGAAGACTGCTGTAAGCCAGATATTCCCAGCGGCAGGCGAAGTGGCGCTTCCGTGATCGCTTATACAGTTTTAAGAATACAGCATGGAGACTTTGTCCCTATCTAGACTACTGATGGTGATCTTTGTGTTGCCTTTTTATTTCAATCCAAATGATTCTTAGGATAATTGGAGGAAATACTGTGTAGTTTATACATACTCACAGGAATATAGGGTTGTGTGTGTGTGTGTCAGAGGGGTGGCAGAGAGAGAAAGACTGTGCATGTTCATACAGAAAAAACTGTGTCCTCAAGCCCTCTAGACCAGTCTGGCTCTCTTCCCTCTTTTCCACAGTGGTAAACAGAATTGGCTGACATCATTCTTCTATAAGTTATTCTTTTCCCTTTCTAGGCCTTACATAATTGTCAAGAAACAGAAGCCAGCAGTCACAAATAAGCATATGGAAGAATTGGCTCAAGGTTACAGGTAAGTGACCAAAAGTAGAAATTATTCATCTCTTTAAATATGTTCATACTTGCTTTACTCAGCAGTAACATTCTTTGACATCTGCTGTAAGGAAAGTGTATCTTAATCTCTAGTCCATCAATTCCCCTCTATCGGCTATACCAGCAGCCCGTTATAAACCACCCCTCATGCAGCTGTATTCGTGGGATATTTCCCAACTCAGGCCGTAGTGAAATTCTGTCCATTAAATGCTTCCACTAAGAAAAGCCCTCATAACCATGTTGTTAATGTGGACACTGCATGCCTCATACCACAGTTTCTAAAGTCAGTACTTTCAGAAGTGGGGCCCAGATTGGCAAGAATCAGCCATTAGTGCTTTTATCTTAGTGACGTTGTGACCCATAAGCAGTGTGTTTAGATACCTTAGTGTATTGATACTCTCTAGGGATTTGGGGAATAAATGAAAACCAGCATCTTCTGTTGTCATATACAGTACTGCAGTAAAGTCTCTCTTTTACCAATCTTTTCCCAGGAATTTTGAAGATTTCTTACATGAGAGCCTAGTTGAATACTTAGATGTGAATGAAGAAAATGATTGTAACATTGCACTCTACGAACATACAATTAATAAGTAAGTAAGATTCATAATGACCACAATTAAAACCCATCTGTCCATGGAAAGTACTGTCTGCCTTCCCTGTCTTGTTCAGATCTTCTGGGAAACATGCTTGTGAAGGTGCTATTTTGTGAGAAAGCACCCTGTCATCTGACCCAGTGAAGTGCCACAATGTCGCCAGCAATTAATCTTTAGATTGATTATCTCTGTAACTATGTGATACTTAGTGTATACTTTTAAAAGGAAATTCCCTCTCCAATTTTAATATCCAGCTACTATGAACATTGAGCTAATGAGTCAGCATTCATAAAATAATGTTTGTCTCTCTTAGCTAGGATTTTGCCAGTGGATATCTGAAATCTCATTGTTAGAGAAGGAATTCCACACATAGTATGGTATAAAAATATCTCTGAACATATGTGCAGTGTAAACTTGAGATGCCAATATGTTCATAATGTTTCTCCTACACAGTGGAATTTTAGAAGCATCTGTGTTTCGTTTGGGAGACATTAGAGGACAGCTGCACAACTGCTCTGTTATGCATGTCATTAATGTACCATTTGCCTAAAGCTGGAATTCTTGCAGTTATATTGTTAAGAGGGAGTTTAATAATCATACTTGCTAATTGTTTCTATCTTCAATCATGAGCAATTAATTTTTTCTTTCTGCTACAAGATGAAATATATATTTATATTATAAGTTGATAAACAATGCTTTTTAGTCAGAATTTTTAGTCCCTTCAGGTGGTGAGCTTTTCAAACTACTTTTACTTTCTACATTTCAAGAACTATTAGAGAACTGTTTTATAGTGGATTTTTTTTTTTTTTTTAAGAACTGGGTCTCATTATGTAGCCCCTACTGATCTAGAACTTGCTATATAGCCCAAGATGGCCTCAGACTCACAGAGCTTCTCATGTGTCTGTCCCCAAGTACTGAAATTAGTGTGTGCACCATGTCTAGCCAGTAGTACACTTATAAATGACAGGTACATCCTTTGTGGTTTTTTAGCTCTGGCTTCCCTTACTTGTCACATGACACACCCAGGGCTGAGTTTTGTTCACCACCTCCATCTTCCACTTAGTCCAGGCTCTGCCATTGCTTGTCCCTAAGAGCCCTTCGTGGTTCTCGGACGCTCTACAGACATCGCTGGGCTCCTAGCATTTGTTCATACTTGATTCTCATGTGTGTTCACCTCCCCTAACCTGCTGTGGCAGCCTTCCTGGCCTCTCTTCAAATGCCTGGACACTGATGGCTCCTGTTTCTTCTTTCATGCACTCAGGTGTCACTTTGTTGTGAGTCTCTGAGTAGCCGCATTTAAAGCAAACACACAATTCTTTCTACCCTCTTCACTGCAGGTCCTCGCTGCCACAGAGTAAAAATCTCACTTTTTTTACTGACTTATTTGTGTACTGCATGTCTTGCTGCAATAGGGCATTATGAAGCAGGGTGTGCCCAGTCACCAAGATACTGTAGTGATAAAATTCATTTTATTTGGAAATGATAATTCTATTATTTTATTCATCGACAAGATTATTTTTAATTGTAGATATACATAAATTTAAAAAGTGAACTTAAATTTGGGGTGTAACCCAGTTGGCGGAGCATATACAAAGCACCTCATAAAACCCTAGCACCAAGTAAAACCAGGAATAATGTCAGACACATTATTTCAGTACTTAGGAGTGTGTGAGTTTGAGGCCAGACTCACTATCAACATAGTGAGTCTAGGACACCAGGGCTACAAAGTGAGATTCTGTCTCCAAAAAAAAAAAAAAAAAGAAAAGAAAAAAAATTTAATAAAATAAAATAAAACTTGGTTTAGTGATACATGCCTATGTTCCTGTCACTCAAGAGGTGGTGGCAATAGGATCAGAAATTCAAGGTCACCCATAGTGACTTTCGCTCTGTCCTTTACTCTGTGAGACCCTGCCTCAGTGAACAGAATGAACCTGCATTCTTTCCCATCCCACCAGACTCCACATTCCACAGTACCCTGAAACTAGCTGTCTACTGTGTGCTTTCTAAGTGAACACCGGTGTATTCGTGATCCCACAGGGTATGTGTACAGGATGATAGGAATGTGTTTATGCATTTCAATTGATTGTCCTATGAACACCTTGTTAGTAATGTGACCACATTATTTACCCATATATATATATATATATACATATAGGTATAAATATATAATATTCATAATATTATATATAATATTAAATATATATAATATATACATATAAATATATATATTTGATTTAGTTTATATATGTGGGTATATATATATTTGCTTTAACTTATTCTCTGCTGGAATTTAGTGGGTTTATTTTAATATCAAGTACATGTAAGTGAAATCTCTCATTCCTGTTCAGGGTATACAGTGGTTGTGATTCTAAAGGAAGTAATTTTTCTTTTTTATAAAATTAAAATTCAGAGCATTTAGATGTTCAATATTTATGAGACACTACATAATCTTAAAAAGTCACTGTTTTGTGATAAAATAAAAACTTTGTGTTTGACCTAGGATCTCATACATGCTAATTAAGCTCTTTGCCACTGAACCACATCCTCTAGCCAAACTTTTTTTTTCTTGTGTAGCAAATACAGCTTTAAACTATGCTTCTTAAAACAACAACAATAAAAACACCTAGACTGATGCCTCTTAAACAAGCAAGCCCACCTAGACCCTTTCCCTGCCTGCTCGCAAAGGCTTTTGTCAGATGGAAGGTTCCACTGGGTCCCAAGAAAAACACTGCTCTTCCAGCTTACAGGTACAAGGAAAGCACATCTCCTCCAGAGTAGAAACATAGTGCTTACTGTGTGCTCAAGGAATAGATGAGGAGGTAGAGCTCTTTTACCAGGTACATTACAACTTATGTTCCACAGTCGGTATGGACTGCTTTCCCAGAAATGGCCTCTCCCTCAGGTGCTATGAACCATCGAAATGTCTGTGGTTCTGTTTCATAGACCCGAGAATTAGAAACATAGGATCACTGCATGTATCCTGAATGTGATGTGTGTTACTGAGTAAAAACCCTTACATATTCAGGCTGCTCTTTCCCAAAAGCAAATAAGCCCCAACCTGACTTTTCTGTAGAACTGTATTATGAAGTAACCAACTAGTTAGATACCTATGACAGGACTGTCCCATAGCAATATAATACGAGGTACTGGTACATACTAGAAAGTAGCCATACGAAGAGGAAAATGATGACTAATTAATTATTATTTTGGGAAGGGATACTGAGAATTGAATATAGGGTGTCACACATGCTAGGTGGGTTCTTTACCACCTAGCAATTACTAGCCCTTAATTTAGATGCTTTTATTATCCCACTGTGTTTAAAATACTGTCACCATGTAATGAATATTTTTAAATGAGATATTTTACATTTTTCTCATACAAGTCTTTAAAATCTTGTGCACACTTAGCTAAATTTCATTAGAAATACTAAATCTGATAGAACTTTCACAGTCAAATAGGTAGATTCACAAATGTAAGTTGTCTGAAATATAATGATAGCTTAGAATAAGAAACTGAATTATTTAAATTTAAACCTGAGTTTTAAATTTTAAGTTCCTTAAAATTGGGTAAAATCTAAAATTCGTTTCCTCAGAATCCTAATGTTTGAACTGCTCAGTGGCTGCAGTCAGCTAGGGACTGCGGCACTGCTCTGCATAGGTTGTACCTACTCATTTTCAACAAGATCTTTTTCTTTCCCCACATGTGAGGCAGGGTCCTTATTGACAGAAGGAAAGGCAAGCTCATGTGGAAGTTACTGTGATACCATACTTCTGTGTTTGTCGTAGAAGTTTCTTTTTATCATGTATCACTGATAGTGTATATTATGATAATGATAATGTTATGTAAGAACCTTTTTACTGTCTCCCTTTTATTTTCATCACTGATAAGAATATATTTTTTTATTACAAAACAGTTTAAATTCTTTCATGCTTTATTTCAGCATGCTTTTATTTTACTAATTTCCCTAGCATCAAAGTTTATTATAAATCCCCTGGGAACCTAAGAAAGAGTATCTTTTATATCCTTAAACAGACACTGGTTTTAGCACTTTATGCCTAAACTGCCTAAATCTTCATTAACTTGCCAGAGATACCACCCACTTGGAGATTGAACCCTTCACTCTTCTTGGTGTTTGTGCTGGCCTTATCCCATACCCTCATCACAACCAGTCGCCAAGAAACACCTATCAGTGTGCTATGGGCAAGCAAGCCATGGGTAAGATTGCCTTGTTAAACCTGCTTCTAAATTGGATGGAGAAAGACTTTAATCTTTATCCTCTCTACTGTGTGTTTGGGCAGTTGAGAAGCCAGTGACACCCGGGGGCTGCTAAGCTCAGAGAGCCTGTGGAGCCGTGATGCTTGCTGGAGACCTCCCTGTCTTGCGATTAAATAAACAGGGAGATCTTAGCTGGTTGCTTTAGCCAACATAGTTGCACATAATAAATTTTCCATAATTATAAGAGTGAGTATAAACATCAAAGCCCTGAAAAGTGTAAGTTAACCAGAAAAGGCGGGCAAAAGAGCAGAACAACCAGAAGCAAAGGAGTGAGGAGGTTTGCTGAGTAATCCGCGTACCTCGGTTGTCTGTACCACGGTCACTGTTCTTGTAGTTGCTGTTGTGTCTCTTAACACTTATATCCATTTCCAAGTCCATTTCTTTCTCCTCCAGAGTCCCCTTCCCTTTCACCTTTCTAGTAATTTATCTACCCATCCATACTCCCATAACATTCACTAAGCAAGACTGGCAGTCAGATGTGGGGAGAAGGAGCCTGAAAACAGACTTCAGAGAAAGCTCTCTGTTTACGGAGTTTTTGTTCAGTCGGAGACAGGCAGATTAGACCAGAAGGCAGGATCTGGGAACTGAGAGGGAGAAGAGTACTTGTGAAGGTGGGACTGTACTGAGTCTCGAAAGGGAAGCATCATTCACAGAGGAAAAATGACATCTCGTGGCAGTCTTGGTAAGTCTCTGTGGCAAGAAGATGTAATGAAGATATATGCTACATGGAGGAATATATGTTGCGTGGAGATTAAGTATGATCCATGGAGCACTGTGAAGGATCCAGCTTCTAAACAAATCTTATGGATTTGTTGAAAATGTTTTCAACTCTTAGTTTACTTAATGAATTTTCATCCCCTGTATGGCATGTCCTTTCTAATCTGAACGGCTCCAGGAGCTTCACTTTGAAACGCTGTGAACAGTAGAGGGGAGGTTCTGCTTCACCTCGGTTAGCCTGTATCCCTCTTCCAGCTGTAGCTGGCCAGGAAGAAACCCTGCTTCCTTCCCACAGCAGGAAGGAAAGATATTTCTTCCTCAGTCTCATGCCCTTTGGCTGGCTATGGAGAGAGGAAAAGCATATTGTTGTGCCACCATTTACCTGAATGGTGTAACGCCTGGACAGTCGGGAATAATTTCCAGTGGGAAAATCTGAAGAGCAGCTCATCAGTTTCGCCTCCTATTCATCCTCAGCAGTGTAGGCTGATGTCCTGCCTATACTCCTGACTTGCTAACAAGTTGAAATATACAGTACCGCACCCTGTGTGCTGTGAAAGGGCTATCACTTCTTTTGAGTTTACCAAACCGTTTGTTTCATGATGTGAATCCTGGCTGAAACAATACACCTTTTGTGTAGAACCTTCAGCAGAATTAACAGAAGACTAATCACTGCATGACTAATGCCTCTCGTTTTGTTTGAAGATACAAACAGAAGCGACGGCCATCTCCTGTTAGTGAAGCCGTTTTAAAAATAAAGAAGTGACTCAAAAGAGGAGAAAAATATTTTTATCACAACCCTCCCCACTCCCACCTCCTCCAAAATTGAAAACCCAACCTTTATTTTGTGGCCCCACACGTCTGAAGCGCCGGGTTAGTTACCACACACAGTTAAGCAGGATCAGTGTGCACAGAAAGCCAATTCAGTGTCTGTAGAGTTCTTTTGTAGTCTTGTGTGTGAAGGTTTTTTTCCTCGTTTTGTTGGGAGTGTCATTTGCAATTCATTGTCTGTGTTTTCTGAGGTTGGTGTATTCAGCTGCTCTGACCCTGGGTCCTGCACATTTAGCTCCTTGGATACAATCCTCTGACGTTACTGCTGACGCTTGCAAGACAAAAGCCACAGAATATCTTAAGTCATATAAAAAAAAAAAAGGCTTTGTTACTGTTTGTTATTATAAAACACACCTGACCAGGAAGGAAAGCATAGAGAAGTGCATTTAAAGTTGGCACATGGCATGGCCACATTTCCCTTTGGACACTGAAAGAACTGCAAGAGCTGCAGGAGTACCTAGGAAGGTCTGTGTGAAAGACAGAAGGAAAAGGTCAGTGAGAGAGAGCCCATAGCAAAGACCCAGGTCTGAGGCAGGTCCAATCCTTTCAGCAGGACTGCTCTGGATCATTTGAGTTTCCTGAGTCCTGGCAGCTGGGAACTAAAAGCCACTTTAAAGAGGATACATTGCTGAAGACTCTTTTCCAAAGTAATGTTTTATTTGTTATTTGTCTGTTAGTTCATGTAGAAAGTGGAAGACAATAGTCTAGAAGTGGCTCACTAAATATTATAGCCAACCTGCAAGGTTTGCTGTGTCCAACCCCTGCCCTTTCAATACCAAACCACCGTCCCTCAGAGAGTGAAAACAGTAGCTCCGCAGAAAAGGACCAGTGCGAACCACAGTAACTCAAGAGCCTCAGCTTGCATATCAGAGAGCTAATCTAACAAGCTGCCTGCAGAGGTGCTACTTAAATCACAGATGCTTCAAAGTTATTAATGGAGTCCAAGTTCCATACAGCATCTTCCTGCTACCAAGACCATCTCACTTCAGTGTGGCTGTTGGTGTCATGACCAGGCTCAGAATAGAAAGTCAGGTATATAGATCCCGGGTAGTGGTCAGACCCAGGGCTCTCTGAGCCCCTGCTGTGTCCTGGAGCTGCAATGTGTGCTGAGGCTGAGTTCAGAGTCTCACTCTATCCTGCCTGTTTTACTAGCTGTCCTCTAGAGCAACGCTTTCTCCTTTCTCACTCAGCTGGTATCAGCAAATTAATGAATATGCATCATGGACCTCCTCCAGCCCTTCCCCCTTCAGCTCTAAGTTACCAAGACTGGAAAACAAAACAAAACAAAAACAAAACAAAACAAAAAAACAAACTTAGGAGTTTGGACAGCTTCTGTTTTTGTCTTCTGTTTCTTCTTCCAGAATCTGTTTCTAAGCAGACTATTTCATCCTGTGTTTAAACAGGAGTGGAATGTCCTGGGATTGATATATCTAAAAGACATGATGTTCAAGATTCCTCACAAAATTGTTACATTCCACAACTCTGCCCCACTGTTTTGTATATCTATTCTTTATTTGTTTAGGAGTAAAAAAAAAAAAGGGAGAAAAGCCTTAGCCACTTTTGCATGAGAGTTGTTTTTTTTTTTTTTTAATTCTGTTGATTTAAGGGATTTGTTTTTAGTTTGTTTTGTTTTGTTTGTAATACTATAGCTGTTCTAAATGCTTCAGTTTTACCTGAAGTCTCTCTGGGGCTTCAAACACCCCTTTGCTAGACTCACTCAAGTGGACAAGGTTACTGTGTGTTCAGCTTCTATGCTTTCTGTTAGTTCTAGTTTCCTTAGAGTAATGGGAAATGACTGCTTTGGTCTAAAGTTTAGGTTACAACTTGAGTGAGATGGGTGCACTGCAAGGTGACACTGACCGCCAGTATTGCTGATGCTAATCATAGTGACTGCTGCCACTTACCCATGGAGGAGGGAGTCTTGCTGGGCGTTGAACCCAGGGCTTCATTATTGCCAAACATATGCTCTACTGCTGATCTGTTTCCCAGACCTCCCAGTTTTTACATGCATTCATTTTTTTAAGCATGATAATGATCCTGTGAGGCTTGAGCTTTTCTTTCTGAGAAGAAAGCTGAATTCCAGAGTATACCTCTGGAGTTCATACTTATACCACAGTACATTGTATCTTCTATGGAATCTCTAAAACTCACCAAAGTTCTTCTCTGCTGAGAGTCACTTCCTCCCCATAGTTCCTGAACTTTGTGGCCTGTAATCAGGCTGGCTTCTCTACTTCATTATAGATTATAAACTCATTGAAGATAGGAATTTAGTATATTATTGTATCCTTGTGCCTAGCCAGCTTAGTAGGTGGTATCATAAATACTTAATAAATGTTTCTGGAATAATGAGTAAATGGATGGATGGTGACTGATTCTAATTTAGAGCTGGGTTAAGTGGCATAGGCCTTTAATTCCAGCACATGGGAGGCAGAATCAAACAGATCTCTGTGAGTTCTAGGCTAGCCAGGGTAATATAGTTAGTTTTTTGTCTCAAAATGAATAAAGTGGAGAGTTTTTGAGAAAAAAAAAATCCAACGTCAGTCAACTTTGGCCTCCATACATAACACATATGCATGTATAACTATACACATACAAACATACACGTGCATGTGTGTGTATATATACATATATACTTACGTATATGTATATATATTCATGTATATATACATGTTCATGCACAGAAACACACACAAAAGAAGGGAATTTTACAACAAAAGAGAGTAAACTAAAGAAATAATACAACCTGATTCTGATTTATTATAAAACTACAAAAATAAAGACAGTGTGATATTGATTCAAGAGCAGAATTAACAGTTGAGAAGGAGATACATTACAGCAAAATGGGGCAGTGGAAGCAAACCACAGCTCATAGGTGTCCTTTTGTGTTAGCTGAGTGTGTTATTTCCCCCAGTATCTTTTGTGGTGTGCCTTGTGCATGCTGGGCGAGTGCTTCCCCTGGGCTACAGGCCTAGTCCTGCAATGCTTTTTAAGGAAACTGAAAGCAGCAGTAAGAACATTTTAGTTTGACCGTGTGCTTACATAGGCGAGCTTTCTGAGTTAATTTTTTTAAATATTTAATAGCCATAGGGATTTGATGGTATTGTAATATAGAAATCTTAGTTTATGTATAATGTTTTAATATACACATCCGTTATGCTTCTAAAAATTTTCCAGTGAGTCATAATGCTTATGTGCTAAATGATTTCTTTGTCCCTCCATGTAGTGGTCAGAAGCAATGCTGGCAAATTATGTTCTGGGCTTGAGAGCACAGTTTCTAGCAGGATCAGGCTCCATGGCCATTGTTGAGAAAGACGGCCATTTATGTTTCCCTGCTGCATGATAATGCTTGTGTCGGTTTCAGAAGACATGTTTTGGTAGCCTGGTGGGACATTGCCTGAACCCTCAGCTCAAGCTGAGTAAACTACACAGTTGGAGCTGAAGTCACAACATGTATTTTATATGGTTTCATAGAAAGACATAAGCTTATTGTCTGTGAACCATGTCCTGACCCCTGCAGCAGTAGTCTTAGGCTAAAGCAGTTAAGTGCTCACTGTCAGGTGATTGTCCAGTTCATTAGTTGTCAGTAAAATGACCAAATTGCAGTTCCTAGTGCAGACCCAACAAAAGGTCCATGAGGTTCATCTGACTATTGTCTTTCAGCTGACTTTTGGTAAGTTTTGTAAAGATTTAAAAGATTTAAACACAGATACATACATACTCTATTAAAAAGCTTGAGTTCTTCACCTTAATTCAGTTGACATTTCCTGAGCAACCATAATGAGCTCCTCACTCTGCAGTGTGCCTTCTGCACAGCTCTTGGCATTGCTTTTGGTGATGAAGGTCAGGGAGTCACTTTTTTTTTTTTTCTGCTCAAGTAGTTGGTTTCAGTCCTGAGTTAAGATTGCTATTGTTTTTTGTTTGTTTGTTTGTTTGTTTTTTGTGGTGCAGGGGGATAGTGATGGGGATGGAACATAGATGATTTAGTAACAGAATGCAGAAGTTAGAGGAAATAAATCACAAAGCTTAGATATCTATTCACACTTTGGCTCAGCTCCATACAGTGGTACCTAGGGGCTGGTGAATATGTGTTACCAGAGGGGCACATTCATGAAACAAGCCAAATGTCCTTCCTATACTAACAGATCACCTCAGTCATTCACAAAGTGAAGAAATGCTCAGACATTAAGGGGGTTTCCGTAGCCGGCATGTGCTCTTACAGAGGGACAGGTCTCTGTCTTCTATTTTATAGTCTCTGTTAGAGTCAGCTGTGTATCCATGAGCTCAAAAGATAGACTCTTCCTCAAGAAGGCCATAGATATCACTCTTACAGTGAGTTCAATTGTAGTTGACAGTAACCCAGTAACATACCCTCCTAAGGGCTGTTGGCTAAGAAGACTAATTGTTAAGGAGAAAGGAGCTCACCC